TGTTTAAGCGTAATAGAATACGATCTTTAGTAGTGTTATTTACTCTGGCGAGTATTTAAAACATTGACAACCTACTCATTCGTTAGTTTCTACTGAGCATTGGAAACAGTGTTATCCTCAAAGGAATATAGCTTATCTGAACACATGAGATGACCTTACCTGAGTGGTGTCCTTGGTTCACAAATTGTACACTTGAACCTTTTTAATTGGCTTTCATCAACAAAATGTCGTGTTTTTCTGGAATTAGACAAAGAAGAGATATACGAATATTAACATTTATAAAGTTATATTTGTAAAATCTCAGCGAAATTGAAATGATTAATTCCAACGTTTCGTTCGGCAATCTGGTCCGAACTTCTTCAGAGAAATTAATCGAAATTAACATAACAAAGTTTATATATAAAGGGACACATCTTGTTTTTAAAATTCTTGTCCAATCATGAATCATGCAACAGGTATCAACATGTATCATAAATAAATAAATATAATTGTATGTTTATACAAAAGTACAGTCAATAGGTATGCTAAACAAAACAAAAATTGCATGAACTATGATCAAAAAACTTTTTGACCTCAGGCTTTCAAAATTTGTCTACTTTTGTTAAAATATGTGTGTTTGCAGTATATGCAGGATACAATGGTGTGTGTATGTGTGTGTGTGTGTGGGTGGGTGGGTGGAACAGTCATAAAACATTTGCTATTCTCATATGAGCTGTGATCAAGATTTGACCGGATAGTTACAAAAAATTGACATTTTTATAAATATAATTTAATTTTTATAGATTTGTTATTCTCTCCATAAGAAGACGTAGACAGTCGGGAATTTGACTAAGTGTGACTACTTGATCATACATATCAAATTTTACTTTGTTTATTAGTCAGGATTTGCCATGCATCGGCTAACATCACATCTTCACGAATATTAACCTTTGCGTAAACAAACATACCCAAATGTATGTTGGATGCAGCACAAATACTTGAGGAAAATTACAGCATGAACTCAATTCTCTTACATTTCTTTGCTGTGTAGGGTATCGAATTTTACATTTGACTAATAGTCAGATGGTGTATTAATTTAAAATGAGTAATATATTTGTGCAGTTTTTCTAAGTAGTATCATCGTAGGTTGACATAAGAAGGGAACTGTACTGCATGCAGACGAATATCGGCCATAGCCAGACAGATTTGTTTTACTGCACTAAAGTCAGCCAATACCGCCATTTGCAGCTGGATGATATTCTGTACACAGGGATGCATATCCGAAAAGCAGGGACTTCGTCTTCAAAAAGCAGTGAATCCTTGGCGATAAGCCTCTCTCGGAAGATCAAAATACAGTTGACGATGACCCCATAATGATCAGTAAACTCTTCGGTGAATGCTTTTCTAAATCTCGCTATAATGTGAGAAAACAACTCCAAGTGAGAAGATATCACACAAAGTATAACACTGTGAGACTTTATCAAAATAAATTTTACCCACCATGGAACTGATCTGTTATTCATTATTCAAATTAATTCTCACCATGAAGATGAATGTCTCCTTTGCTCGACCTGTAGATTGCTTGGATGAGTAGAGTCTGTTTGAATTCAACTTTTCTGATAATACAAGTACTCCTAACCTGGAAAGCCGCTCCACCTACTGAGCTTTGAGCAACCAGGTTAAAAGAAGCAAGTGGGATCATCATACTTCATTGTGGTTCACTGTCAACTGCATGGAGATGAAATGGTTGAGTTACCCTTCTGAATTACAATGATCTCCAAGTACCTGGACATAATTAGTGATCTTTCGACACTGTATCGAAGAACTATGATTGAATAACAATTTATAAACTCAGATTTTGTAAATTCTCGTTTACTGGTGATTTGACAAAGTCACTGGCAGCCCTAAGTAGCCAAATCTGAATCCCCGAATATATTCAATGCATGAAAAACGAATATGGTTTCAAAAATACTACCTCACATAGACCTGAACCACTTTTTGTAGAAACCCGAATTCTAGTGACGCTGAATAACACAAGCGAGGGCAGACACTCTGTCTTCTCTTCCATGGCAGTGACAGTGGAGCGCCTATTGTTAATAGTTCTAAATCTTCGATAGATAACATTAACAGATGCGAAATAACACAGTGGAAGATAAAAACACTGTAAGGAGTGGTTTTTCGACTGTCACCACACACACACACACACACACACACAAATTCAGTCGAAATGAACAACACTCCCTTACTTACACCTTCATTTACATAAAAACACTAAAATCGCATCATGTTTACAGCATAAATTAAATTCCCCATCAGAAGTGAGAACTACAACTTCTCACCTATGCAGCCTGTTGACTTAATGAACAGCTCTCTTGTTTTTAAAAACTACCATACCTTGAAGTATCCTCATAAAACGACGTTTAAGAAAATAAATATCCCACTGGCGAGAAGTAGACTTGTTTTTCCGTTAGAGATGGTCAAAATTCAACTGACCTTTTCGCTTCAATTTCATTTGATGTCACCACAACAGATTTAGCACCTCTTAATGAGAAGCGCTGTGAAATAAAAGATGTTTTGTGTGGATAAGTTTCAATTAAGGTAGGGTGAGAGAAACGAAGTTTGAAATAAGTGAATTCAGGAGAGGTTGCACACAGCACTACTTACTACTCACAGAATTACAAGTAGTATGTGTACTAATACTAAAATAACTACTACCATAACTTCTATTATTACCACCAGCAAATTTAATATTACTACTCCTCCTACCATAATTATTGCATTTGATAGCATAACTACTAATTCTTATGCAAAGCTAACCAATTCTATCACTACCAACACAATCACGTCATAAATTCACCCTCAGAGAAATTCTGGAATAAAAGAATACTCACCACCTGTTATATTTCTAAACCGGAGTGCGGAATTCACCTCTGCTGATTGAGACATAGTGAAGAAGGAATACATAACTCACTAATCAAAGCACTACACACTAACTGGCGGAGCCGTATAAGAGCCCACATACAGTTATCATCCAAAGTGATTCTCAATTCAGAGTAAAGCCAGCGATTCTGTTGACCCACTTCACTTATTTGGGAAGCTGCACCAGCCCTAGTGGACTGATTGATGACAAAATCTTAGCACGGATTCAAAAGGTTGGATTAAGCTAACTGCCTCATCTCCAGCAAAGATATGATATCCAGCTTTCCATCAAAGGCGATATTTACCTCACAGCGATTTGCTGTGTCTTCCTCTATGGCCGTGAGATATGATAATTGAAAGTGGAAGATACGAGAAGGCTAGCTGTCCTTGACCATAGGTGTCTGCGTCCCCTTTCCTGCGCTAAGTGTTGTCACAAATAGGTTAACCGTCAAGTGTCACGAAGAGGTGATGATGCTACATTGATTTTGATTTCTGGGACACATATCCACTACGGGAAGCCATCAACTCCCTCGATGGACAATATTAGACCACCTGGGATTAAATTGAAGATGGATTAGAAGTGATCAAACCAAAACCTGGAATTCCTCCATGAAATTACTGACAGTTAGCTTCAGCTAGATGGGAAGGTGTGCACCACATGGTTAGGGTCCTTAGAATGCTAAGAACCAACAACTGAAGACTTTGGGTGATATGACTCCAAATCGTTGTCAGTAGCACAGATGAATTCACTTTCTGTAGTCTTCCATCTCTATTAAACCTGATGCATTTCCGTGTAACTTCCTTCTCCCTGAGATTTTTGCGAATTACAGTACATTTGAACCCGTCTTTCCTCGAAATGATCTTCCTTTCTGTGATAAGCGGAATGTCACAACTGTCCTGTAAACCCTCACAGTATACGAACAATAGTGTTACATAGCACTATATATACTGATTTACATGTAAGTGTGGACACGCGTACATATGGGGGAGGACCCATCGTTCTCTGCAGGTTAAGCCTACAGAACATTTTTCAAAGTGGCTAAGAAGAAAACCGATATCCATGCTGAAAATTCCACACTTGTACCAAAAATACAATGTGGAATCAAGCTGTAATCAAAAATATAAAAAAAATATAGAATATAAGACGAACTGGTTAAGCAAAATTAAGATTAGTAGGAATGCGATAAATAACTTTCCAGTACTCACTGCAATATTTAGCCATGCAGTGCATTTATTCAGCACTGTTTTAGAGATTGCCTAATGGATAGAAGGCAGAAGGTTAGAGATTTTTTTAGATTTAGATTTACAGCTTGATTCCACACTGTATTTTTGGTACAAGTATGGAATTTTCAGCATGGATATCGGTAGCCCAAATTTTGCAGGCCGACCATAGATATCAGGTGTGCGCCGGCGTGGGCTCTAACCCCGGACCATGTGCATGGGCGGCGAGAGTCCTAACCACTGTGCCACCGACGCTGTACTATCAGGGTGAAAAGCAGTATCCAGTACAGTGCCTCAGGGAACTGTATTAGGCCATTTGTTATTCCTATTATACGTTAATGAACTACCGGGGATTCTTACTTCATCTTCATTATTATTTGCAGACGACATTAAGATATGGAAAACTGTAGATAATAGCGAGGATAGGTCGGTCCTGCAAACTGATCTAGATAAATTAGCTGAGTGGTCGAACCTGTGGAGTTTCGAAACACGTGGTACTCCCTAGGGGAGACAGAACTACCTGATGTTAACGAACAGAAGAACCTAGGAATCACTGTCAGCAATCATTTGAAAACAACTGCAAATAGCAATGCAGCCGCAGCTAAGGCTTTTCGAATGCTATGGGCACTTCGAAGAGCTTTCAAACGATTAGACGAGGGCATGTTTCAAATACTCTACGGAAAATACATCAAGCCTCATCTAGAATACTGCATACAAGCGGCGAGTCCATGCCTCATAAAGGAGGCACATATTCTAGAAAGAGTACAGACAGAAGGTATGAAATTAGTTAGTGGTATCGCACATCTTCCTTATGATAAGAAGATGGAGCATTTAAATCTCTTTCCGTTATCATACCCAAGGAAGAGAGGCGACTTAATTTTAGCATACCGTATACTTAAGGGTGATTTAGGAAATGACCTTTCTAAACTTTTCTCCCCTTTTAGGATACATTTATGGGGTCAACGAAAAAAAGGGCTCAAACCAAGGACGACTAAAATAACTGCAGAATATAGGTTCTCTCCCAGTGGTCAACAACTGGAACGCCTCACCTGATTCAGTAGTATCAGCTCCATTGGTGAACGCTTTCAAAAAGAAGTTAGATCTCTGCAGAGATGTATTTTGCAAGGATTAACACAGGCCACAAGAGCCTTCTATCCTTATCATCTGAATCTGAATAATGCACTGTTTCACCTGCAAATCCTATTTTTAAGGACTTGCCACATTAATTAAGAGTTCAGAGCACTTTATAATAACGATCAGCGTCATTTCAATACATACGTGATTCACTTCAGGTAGGTGAAATATACATTTGCCATAAAAGCTCATAATCGACCCATAGGTTAGAATTAGTTACGAATTGTTGTAAACTAGCATGGAAGTAATTACTCCCAAGCTATAAGATCGCTTATAACTTTAAGGGGATAGGCCATTTTGGATGCAGTCCTTGTGTCGCTGAATGGTTGTCCAGCCTTCGCTTAAAGCCGTCCAAAGACGGTGCCATAGCTGCATCTGCCGGTGAGGAATTCCAGGGACGGCAAACCCGCAGTGAAAAGAAGTGGGAGCGCACCCGGGTCCTCGCCCTCTGGTGAGCTATCCTTCTGGGATTTCCACATGAGAGCCTATACCTACTCAATGGCAGAACACCTTTGTTTGGGTGATTCTGGTCATTTGTTATTTTGTAGGCAGTAATCAAATCCCCCCTAAGCCGACAGTAGCTAAGTGTGAACAGGCCTAATTTCTTCAGCCTTTCATCATATGGTTTGTTTCGGAGACCAACCACTCCTTTTGTTGCCGATCGTTGGACTCTTTCCAATAGGTTGGCGTCTCTTCTCAGCATTAGGGGTGCAATAATATTATGCACCTCAAGGTGGGGCCTGACGTATGTTTTGTACAACATTAGAAAGAGCTCAGGAGTGAGTGCACCTAACTGTCTATGCGTAAAGTGTATGACCGCATATGCCCTCGCTACATCCCCTGTGTAATTTACGCTTGTGTCCATTTTTTCCGTTAGAACTAGACCTAAGTCGCGTTCCGACGTTGGGCAGGACAAGCTTTCATTTCACAGGGTGTAACTTGCATTCTGCAGTCTACAGGTGCGCAACTTCACTACTTTGCACTTTTTCAGGTTGAAAGTCATGCCACTGGCCACCGCCCAGTCTTCGAGAAGGTTCAGGTCTTCCTGCAGCCTATCTGAGTCCTCCGGACACTTTATCGCCCTCCATATTTTTTACATCGTCAGCGTATAGGAGAGTCGGGCAGCTTAGGCGGTGTGGTAGATCATTGATAAAAATCAAAAGCATCAGTGGTCCTAGGATAGAAACCTGCGATACTCCTGATGACGATCTGTGCCAAGATAATCGGACTCGGTTAACCTTAGTGCGGGGTTTATTTGGGGAGTAGCCGCTAGGTCTTCCTCCTTTGAAATAGTGGTGCCACCATTTTGGTCCGTACCTGTAATATCCACATTGCTATTTAGCTGTTTGGCGAAGGCTGAACTGGGTGGGTTTGATCCCTTATAAGGGAAACTTATCCACTTCACCCATGCTCACGAAAAGTTCTGCGACATAGTATCACGCAGATCAAATAATAAAGCTAAATGTTGGCTCACATAATATATTTCACGTTTATCACAGGAATGAGCACCATGTCGGATGTTAGTAATAAAAGCTCTTTTACAAGCATTTAATCCCAATTCGACAAAAATGAGGAAAATCGTGTTCAAAATGAGGAAATAGTAGGGTTTTCCTCATGTACCCCATTTTGTCCCCAGAATTTCTCTATTCTTTAATCGCATATTACCCACAAAATCAGCATAATTTCCCCCCTATTACTCATTTACTTTTGCCTTATTTTGCTTACGTCAAAAAACTCAAAATTCAAATCAAGGTTCTTTACGGAAAATTATATTTGATTTTTTTTCGGTTTAAGGAAATTGGTTGTTGGGTATTTTGAAGGCAAGCACACTTTCTGTGCCTCCACTGCTTCAAGTTCAACTGAGTTATAAGCGTAAGAGGAGTTCTTTGTCTCAATTCTGTATTCTGTCATTAGGCAATAAGAATCTACCTTTGGACTTTGGAATTGGTTAGGGGTAATGTATCCTCGAGATTATCTGAATTGGAGAGTACACTGTGTATTCTTTGGGCAGCCTGCAAAGTACTCTTGGCTTCTACGAAAGAGTCTAATTACAGGAATGGAGTTAATACGGAAACAGTTACCTAGCTCAGCTAACATTTGACAATCAATTAACACCCATTCCGGTCTAGGTCTTACACATGCCTCAACTTCATAATCGGTTATACTGCTGTGATACAAACACATGTCGTCCGACGGCATCCAGTTGCTGGCGGCTATGAATAATTCTTTGGACCCAGCTTTCCGTAACACAGCGTAAGTCTTCTTTTCTTTCTGTAAGAAATGAGAAATATGATGTAAACAAAATTTACTGTCTTGTTTGGGCTAACTCTTCAGCATTTCCATATCCCAATGTGGGATGACTTAAATGGGTCGTCGAAGAAATCACAAACGTCTGCATAAGGTCTGAATATAAGTCCTTCCTTGTTTATCTGCGTTATCAGACCCGGTCTACCGTGGGCTATGACTAAGTTATCTGGTCAAGAGGAAGTGATAACTTACTTACTTTACTTTACTTCGGCTATCTCCTACGGGAGGATGAGCCGGCTTCATGAACCATGAAGTTTCAGGGGAATTGGGTACGAGTGATGTCCCCAGCATCGCTGGGCCTTTGTTTGAGAGTGCAGCTCTAGCCTTTACACAACCAAGTGTGACCTACAAGGCAGTAGGAGTGGAGTAGGGAGTCCACTATCCATTGGCAGCCGGTGACCGGAGTCCGGTTCATTCGCCTTTTTGAATGGGGCCAGTCATCCAGGGCATCCAATAAGCCCTTTGTCCATACGTCTACCGGTGAGTTTCATACGCAAGTCGTTGGAGGTTTGGAATCAGGGTTTAGCCATCTCCCCTAGACTGTCATCCAATGGACAGTCAACCCGGTGAAGAGCGCCGGGCATCCGCTTTTGCCCTCTCACTTTGGTGAAAAACACCGCCACGTGAAGGCAGTGAGTAGGACTTCCTCAGGAGAGGCTATGTATGACGCCCGGTCATATGGGAGCATTTCAAGAGGTGTACGGAGAGGTGGCCAACCCGCAGCGCAAGACACCCACCCCCGACCATCCCGAGGCTTTGGAGGCGATAACTGTATTCCTGCTGTTAACTATTTGCACACGTGCATCAAACTCACAGTGATTTATAACGTTATTGTGTACTCCTCCTGAGTTGCAGTCGTGAAACATCTTTTCAGCAGACCGCTGACTTAGCGATTGCATTGTTCGAATGTATTGATCGCCTTATTGTCTGCATATAAGATTCAAATGGGAAGGCCGAAAAAGATTCCAACGGTCCCATTTGATTGACATCTTCAGCAAAGTGTTGCAGACAATGGATGTTATAAACGAGGTGCTCCCTGCCATATTTCACTTCAAACTCATTCAGAAAGTTGATTAACTCAACTCTGCAACCTTCCAAGTAATTTCGATAAAAAAATTAGGATGAGACAGAAGATAAACTGCAAGACTCAGTTTGTGGAAGTTGCCGTAGAATGCCGGTGGCATTATGTCCTTAAGTACAACTGGTCCTAGGTACAGGAGGAACAGGCGACATTCTGTGGCTTTCCACCGACTAACTTCGGTTAGCCCCCTACATTTCCTCGGGAAGTCCCTGGGTGTCATTCCAGCACAGTCTAATATCTTCCCGTCAATATTTCCTAGCATAAGACGGTCCACGTGCATCTCATTCTTTTTAGCTAAGTCTTGCCAGAGACTTACAAGCTTCCTAACTACCCCTAAGTACACTAGGTGCATTGGATCAAGAGGGAAGCATTTTACCATGTCACAATTGCTAAGTACTAGCAGCTGGTGTTAGGCTGCTGCATGGTGGCGATGGCACTACCTCGGTTTCATCGGTCATAGCATCAGTGTGCACTGAAGAGGGCTCGACTTAAACAAGAATGACAGCATGTGAGACAGCCTCCGTTGACGTCGACGCTGCCCAATCGGACAAATGTGGGGACATTTTGGGGAAAACCGGGACAGAATGGGGACAACATTTTGAAGAATAGGGACAAAATGCGAATAATGGAGACAGAACGCGGAAGCATTTGAAAGGTTTTACATACCTCCGTAGACTACTGAAAAATTGTAAGTAGTAAAATTTTTACGTCGGAAAAACTTCACCGAGGCTGGAAATTAATAAAACGCTCGAATTAACGGCTGCATTTTTCGTAATTCAATGAAATCTACATTTCTTCTTGAATAATTTTTAATCTCACTGACCGATTAGTTCAGTTAGTGCCAAATTTCTTTGCTAACAGTAAATCACAGCGCTACATATGTCAGGGTTTCTTTTATTATACTTACACATATTGCGCGCACTTTTTAACCGTTCAGCATGCAGGTAGGTGGTCATTGTTCTCCCTTTTCTATTTTTCTTCTAGTCTAACACTAAATACCCTATATTAAGCCTGGAAAGATTACGTGAGCGTAACCTACAATTGACCCGCCATTACACCACAATTTACAGAAGGTATAAACGTAATTATGCGCAGGTAATGGCCGAGATAAATGCAGCGTCGACGTCAACGGAGGCTGTCTCACATGCTGTCCTTCCTGTTGAGGTCGAGCCCTCTTCAGTGAACACTGATAGTATGACTAATGAAATCGAGGTGGTGCCATCGACACCGTGCACCAGCGTAACACCATGTGCTAGTACTTCGGAAATGTGCACACAAGTCTCTTCTGAACGTGACGAATTGACAAATATGCTTCTGAATATCCTAGTCACCACGAACATTTCACAAGCAGACGCTAACAGAATCTTGGAGATATTCCGTGCAAAATTGCCTCAGCTACCAAAAACCGTTAGAAGTGTACTGAGAATGTGTGGGTCATGCGATTCTAGACTACTGGGAGAAGGAATGTATTGCCACATCGGTCTCAAAAAATGTTTGCAGCACTACATGGAGATGTCGTCTGTGATTGAAACTCCCAGCAACATAATTGACCTGCAGTTGAATGTCGACGGTTTGTCCATCTCGAAGTCTACTAACCAGCAGTTATGGCCCCTGTTAGGTAGGATTACGGCACCGTTTTTAAGCAGTGTTTTCTTGATAGGTATATATGGTGGTCCTAGCAAGCCCAGCAGTTACAAAGAGTTATGCATTGACTTAGTATCTGAACTGAAGGAGATATTAAGTCAAGGCATACACATTACCAGACTTCATAGGCATTTCAACGTTCGTTTAACAGCCGTCATCTGTGATGCACCGGCTAGAGCGGACTTGAAGTATATAGTAGGTCATAATGCTAGTTCAGGTTGCGACAAATGCACAGTCACTGGAGTTAAAGTTGATGGAAGAATGATATTTGGAAATGGCTTCTTCCCAATAAGAACTGATGACAGCTTCCGTCAAAGGATGCAGTCAAGTCACCACCGTGGAGACTGCATTTTTGAGGAATTAAACATTGATATGGTTAAGTGTTTCCCCTTGATCCAATGCACCTAGTGTACTTAGGGGTAGTTAGGAAGCTTGTAAGTCTCTGGCAAGACTTAGCTAAAAAGAATGAGATGCACGTGGACCGTCTTATGCTAGGAAATATTGACGGGAAGATATTAGACTGTGCTGGAATGACACCCAGGGACTTCCCGAGGAAATGTAGGGGGCTAACCGAAGTCAGTCGGTGGAAAGCCACAGAATGTCGCCTGTTCCTCCTGTACCTAGGACCAGTTGTACTTAAGGACATAATGCCACCGGCAATTTATCGAAACTTCCAAAGATTAAGTCTAGCAGTGTACCTTTTGTCTCACCCTAGATTTCATAGAAATTACTTGGAAGGTTGCAGAGTTGAGTTAATCAACTTTCTTAATGAGTTTGAGGTTATATATGGTAGGAAGCACCTAGTTTATAACATCCATTGTCTGCAACACTTGGCCGAAGATGTCAATCAAATGGGACCGTTGGAATCTTTTTCGGCCTTCCCATTTGAATCTTATATGCAGACAATAAGGCGATCAATACATTCAAACAATGCAATCGCTAAGCAAGCGG